CTGGAGTTCTCTTTCTGCTGGGCCAAACTTTGAGCCCAAATGCAGCTTTTCAAAGCTGAATGTTTCCCAATTTAATCCCGTGATGAACGCCCAAGCTTAAACCCCTATTTCAAGAGAAGTAATTTAAAAGCCTAGCCTTTCCATACTTTAAGTTAAGAGAATTCTTAGTTTGAACTTCAAAATTAGGATCCTTAGTCTTAATTAATTGAAATGGAACCCTTTGTTAAAATAAATTGAGATGTGCCATATACAAACAAAATCCATAACCTATGGCCCTCATATTAATATTAACTTAGTATAGAAAATCACCTTTTTAAACACTCGTAGTTTGCTTTAGGCGCGTTTAATTAAAATCATCATAGTTACGGGTACGGTTCCCGTGACGTAGCTGTGATACCTAATTCCCAAATCCGGGGGGGGGGGGTACATTTATGTGACCCACCACAACTTTAAATAACTTTTTTCCTTAATTTAAACATGTTGTAAATCGTGGGTACGGTTCCCGTGACATGATTTGCAATATGTAATAATAAATAATTAAAAGCAGTTATAAAGTTTTAAAAATGCACAATAGGTTTAAAACACGTAGTAAATCAGATAATATGCCAATTATTAATAGTTTAAGCGACCGTGCTAGAACCGTGAAACCGGGGAATACCTAACACCTTCTCCCGGGTTAACAAAATTCCTTACTTAGAATTTCTGGTTCGCAGACTTTTAAAATAAAGTCAAAATTTCCTCGATTTGGGATTTTAAAATAAACCGGTGACTTGGGACACCAATTAAACTATTCCAAATGGCGACTCTGATAAATAAAATAAAATAATCTCATTTCGATTAATGTCACTTTAATTGGAAAAACTCCCTTATATCCCCCACGGGTGGTAAAAAGGAGGTGTGATAGCTCTGGTGACTCTGTTGGGGAATCATAACCCAGAACTTTTGGTTCAAGGTTCAAGAATTCGAGCTTAGAATAACTGTTATAATTGGCTTTTATTTATTATCTGATTTTTTATTACATGTTTGGGCCTAATGTGGTAAATGTCGCTTTTTCCCGCTTTGATATTATTTGAACTGTATATAAACTGTTACGAAACCCTTCTCTTTTCATCTTTGGGGATGTGCACGCTGGTGTGACTCCTCTTTCTGTTAGTGTCATACCTTAAATTAGAAAGAGGATCGGATAAGTTACAAAGCCGGATGACCTTTTGGTTTCCGGTACGTAGCCCCCCGGCTCGAGTTGTCCGCTCGGGTACACCAAGTCTAGAACACTATACCTAGGTTTTAAACCTAGAATAACTCAGCCTCATGCCGTATCCCTAGTAGGAACGTTTGTTTGCATCATGTGCATTTGACTTTGGGGACTCAACAAAAGGGTTGGGACCGTCTAGAACAGGTGGACCCCAGAATCAAAAGACCACCCTGATGCATTTTTTACGTGCTACCTATACAATTATTTGCTTCGGTTTGCATATTGACTGGTTTCTAGAATATGGAGGAAAATTGGAATAAATAAAATAAATTTGAGGTATGAGAGAGATGATTACCCGCCTTTGAAAAAACCTGGTGTCCAAAATATACAGAAACTCTGCCAAAATTTTGAAAAAGAAGAGAAAAAGGAAAAAGGAAAGGAAAATGGTTTCAAAATATTTCATGTCTTTTTATTATGTCAAAACTGACCGAACTACGCGGGTTTGATTCTCACCGGATGTGGGATACGTAGGCAACCCTCATCGGGTCCAACCCCGCTTTTTTGCAAAAAATAACCCAAAATTTGAAAATGTCTTCATTTGTTGTCAAAATAAATTGGGTAACGCCATTTTTGTCTAATAAGCCAGACACTCCGACAGGGCACCAGAATGCTGTTTTTGCAAGAATAGCCACCGAAGGTTTCTTTATCAAATTTTGGCTACCTAGCAAGCACAACCCTAAAATCTTCCTTTTCAAAGTGCTGAAGGGCCGTATTTGCAAAAGTAGCCATGTTATTTAAAATTTTTGCAAAATTGATCTCTTTTATAAAATTTGCTTTGTTTTAAACCAACCACCTTAATCTAAATGTGCAGAATGAGCACGAGTCAAAACTTGCCAATGAAGGTCATGGCCAAGATTCCTTTGGAGCTACACATGTGGTGGGAAGATTTGGGTAAATCAGGACAAGACATGGTCAACCATCATTTGGGGGGTCTCACCGGGTTATTAAAGATCAAGCCCAGAGGAGAGATAATAAAAGCACTAGTGACATTTTGGGATCCAGCTCATAACGTGTTGCATTTCTCGAACTTCGAGCTTACACCCACTTTGGAAGAGATAACCGGTTATGTTGGGAGTACCGAAGCCCTAAGACATAAATACCTAGTCTCTCCAAGGGCTGTCACCCCTCACAAGTTTCTGGATTTACTAAAGATAAGCAGGGTGGTCCAATATGCAGATTTGGAGGCTAGGTTTTCCACTCCACAGTTCATATACCAGCGGTACAGACACATAGGAGGATTTGAAAATCCGGAAAGAAAAATTTGTAGCAAAGGGAACCGACTAAAATGGGAAGAGCATAAATGCTTCTCCTTCATGGTAGTATTTTTGGGTATTCTAGTGTTTCCCAGAAAGGACGGGAATATCGATGTACGGATATCCGGGGTCGTCAACACTTTGCTTACCAATGCCAAAAGCACCCTCGCACCCATGATAGTGTCTGAAATATTCCGAGCTCTTACAGCCTGCAAAGTCGCAGTAGATTTTTTTGAAGGGTACAACTTATTGCTATAAATGTGGATGATTGAGCATCTATGTCATCGTCCTCTATACATGAACTATGGGTCGATAGGGAAAAGCTGCATAGAGGAGTTTTATACAAGGGTCGACGGGTTCAAAATACTAGAAGGGGTCGCAGATTGGGTATCTTGCCTCTGCTCCGTCACTGCAAATCAGATAGAATGGACGTTAGGTTGGCTTCCTATTGATGAAATCATATACATGCCAGCCACCGGTCCTCATTTCCTCCTGATGGGTCTCAGAAGTGTCCAGCCTTATGCCCCGTACTGGGTTTTGAGACAGCTAGAAAGATGCCAAATAGTTCCCAAGGATGAAGACCTTAGCCTTCATGTGGTTAAGATCCGTTCTGATGACCAATTTCATGAAGCAGTGGTTCGCCAGATTTGGAGTGAGTGCCAATATTTGACGGCAAATACCCGAGTACGTGATCTATCCAAAGGTGAAGTCTCACCCGATTACCTCGCTTGGTACAAAAGGAAAGTTGAGTTTGGAAGGCCAGCTAAAAGACCCCACCTCCAAGAATTTGTTGAATCATCACAAGAACAATGGGAGTGGTTGAAAAAAAAAATGAATATCGGGCCACCATAAGCGGGTTAGAAGGGCAAATCAGAGACCATAAGTTCGATAGTGATGTGCAAGCCGCTGCGGATGAGGGTGAGAAGAAAAAGTTAGCCCAAGAAAATGAAGTCCTCCGGGCCCAGATCCAAAGGATAAAGATAGCTGCTGAGAATCCGGAAAGTAGCCGAGCGGATGAAAGACTCATTAATGTTCTTAGGAAGAAAATATGTGAGTATGGGAATGATTTAGAAAAATCCGAAGGCAGTTTGGCAAGAGCTCGGGCACAGTTGGCAAAGAACGCTGAGGGACATACATATTTTGTTCGGCAATTAAAAGGGAAATATGATAGAGAAGTCATGAGTTTGAAGAAAAAGCTAACTACCCACGAGAATGAAATGGCTAAACAAGCAAAGAACTTAAAGGCAGAGAGGGAACATTGTTATGCACTGATGGCTCGACTAGAAGAGGATATGCAATAGTTGCAGGGCCAAAACCACCATGACACCCAAGTTCTGGAAGCTATGTCTCAACAAATTCAACATTTTCTCCAAGAGAAAGGCATCATCAGGGAAATGATTAAAGCAATTGCCGACTACATCGTCATGAAGTTCCATGGATGTGAGGACATGACTAGATCCACCTTTTTTGCCGCAGTGATGACCTTCGTTTGCCAAATAATGAATGACTTGGATCGTCTCCAAGGAGAGCTTGCACATAGGCCCGTGGTGAGACTGACTGATGTCCCGCGGGCCCCTGGAGTAGTTTTAGAAGCACTTATGTATTCTTGATTTTCGTTTCGAGTCTGTATTTTAGTTTTCGATTCTAGACTCTGTTTCGAGTCTGTTTTTAATTTTTCAATTCCTAGAAAAGTATGATGGAATCATTGTAATAGAAAAGATTAGGAGTTTTTATTTTTAAATGAAATTTGAAGAAAAACCAAAAAAATTGTGTTTATTTTTTTTTGATGCATTTATTCCTTGAACTACGTGATGATCTGATTCACGCTGCGTCGTGATACATAGACAATCCCCATCGGATCGGGTCATAGTTTTAAAATAACTCGAATAAAAGAGAAAATGAAGAAAAGAGAAAACCAAAAGAAAAAAAAGAAGGAAAAAGAGAAAAGAGATAAAACAAGAAAAAAGAGAACAAAAACAAGAGAGAAAACAGTGAGAGAGTGCAAAAGAGAGCAAGAGAAAGATCGGGGATTTAAACAAAGGCCGGGATGAGACACGTAATCGTTGTAAAACATGTAGAAACACATTTAACTATATAGGTGCATCACACCCCCAATGTGCGTTTCCCTATGTGTTAATTGCTTCGAACTAATCGGTGTATTGTGTCTACTATTGAGTATAGGTTCTGTTCTAAGGTGGTTGGTTTTGTGGTAACCTGGCTTCGCACCCTTACTTTACAAGATCCAAGGGAAGTGTCGAAATGTCATTAGAAAGTCATCTACCAACAATTCCCATCCTAGAGGATAGCTCGCTATCGTTTATCCCAACCTCAGAGTCAGCGACTGCTGAAGAGAATAGGGCACTGGGCTTCCGCATGTTGGAAATGTGGTATGCTTGGTCCAACGGTAGAGAGCCGCCCCTGAGCAACTTCCCAGAGCAAGTGGAACTTCCAACATCCCAATAAGTTACCCGAACACCCCACTTGGGTGCCCCACCATGTCAGCCCACTTTGTCGAAACGCCTTATGAGATTCACCCCCAGGCATTGATTTTGGGAGTGGCTTCTAACATATTTACTGCACCACCAACATCGGCTACGGCAAAACCAACTTGCCCAGGTCAAGTTTTGATCCATCTTCCTTTTACTTTCCAAGTACCATCTTTTTCACCAGACACTGTCCATTTCACCACAAATTCTTACCCTCAACAACCCCGGTATGAGTTTACTGGGGGACAAGAGAAAGCTACAAAGAATCCTGAGCAAGAGGAAATCACTCGAAAAATGAGAAGCATGGACCAAAGCCTTAAGAATATACAAGGTTTAAGTTGCCAAAAGAGCATATCCTACACTGGTGCATGTATGTTCCTGCATGCTCATTTGCCCATCGGTTTCAAGACCCCCAAGTTCAAAAAGTATGATGGGTATGGGGACCCCATATCCCACCTCAAGAGGTATTGCAATCAATTGAGAGCGGTGGGCGGAAAAGAAGAGCTCCTAATGGCTTATTTCGGAGAGAGTCTAGTTGGCATTGCATCCAAGTGGTACATGGATAAAGACATGTCTCACTGGCACATATGGGATGATTTGGCTCGAGATTTTGTTAGGCAATTCCAGTACAACATAGACATAGCTCTAGACAGAAATTCCCTGTCTAATCTCAAAAAGAAGTCTTCGGAGAGTTTTAGAGAATATGCTGTTAAGTGGCGCGAACAAGCAGCCAGGGTGAAGCCCCTGATGGATGAGACCGAGATGGTCAGTGTTTTTCTACAAGCCCAAGAGGCTAACTACTTCCAGAATATGATATCTGCAATGGGAAAGCCATTTGCTAAGGCTATCAAAATTGGGGAGATGGTCGAAAATGGTTTGAAGACAGGCTGCATATTGAGCCAGTTTGCTATAAGAGCTATGTACCAAGCAATCCAGAGTGGGTCAGGAGGTGTAGCAAACAGAAAGAAGAAAGAAGAAGTGGCAATGGCGGCTTCAAGTCTGAGGAACCCCTATCAACCCCAAGGTTACTTCCCGCCAAACACCCCGCAACATTATTATCCTCACCAGGATGTGGCTTATGCCATGGCTCCTCAGCCTTATGCGGTGATGAATGCCCAGCCATATGCTCGGCCACAACAATAATTTAACCAAAACCGAGCTCCACTTCCTAGAAATAACCATCCTCACCAAGCTCCATATAATCCCCATCCCCCACAAAATAATTTTCCATACAATGCCCGTGCCCGGGAGCCACCCAGAAGAAACAACTTCATGCCTATTGGTGAATCATACTCTAGCCGTTTCCTAAACTAGTCCAAAAGGGTTTGTTGTAACTCGTTCCCCAAACCAGGCAAAACCTAGAGTCGCCCTCTTACCGATATGGTGCTCGATGTGCTTACCATTCAAGAGCGGAAGTGCATGACACTGAAGACTGTTGGATTCTCAAAAGGGCAATCGAAAACCTAATAGAGCAAAAGAGAGTAGTGCTGAAAGATGAAGAGATCCCCAATGTGACCAATAACCCATTGCCGGCTCATAACAATGGGCCAGTTATTGGGATGATTTGTGAAGATAAAGAGTTTGACCCAGCTCTGAAAGTCGTCATTGCTATCGCCGATGTTGAAAAGAAGCCAAGGGTAGTTGCAAAGCAAGAAAAGGGGGATAAGAAGAGTAACTCCACTCCTCGAAGTGTAGAAAAGATGGTGGAAACCAAAACAGGGGTAGTACCTCCTAAATACGCCATTCTCTATGTTCCCCGGCTCACAGAAAAGAACAATTGCCATTGAGTCCTCCTAAAAGGTTCGAGCTGAACAGGGACCCAAGATGTATGTACCCAAAGGGATTTATGTGGCGGGGGGACCAGTAATTCCACCTAGGCTGAACGAGCCCGTGATCATTAGCCGTGCACCACAAAAGCCCATGAAAGACCCCATTGCAGTCTCCTGAAACTACAACAAAGCAATTGTGACATACAAGGGGAAAGAAATCATGGGGGAATTAAATGAAAATAACCCATCTGGAAGTACCTTAATCTGGAAGAAGTGAACAACGCCAAGCAGAAGCGTTTTCCACTTAAAAAGCCAGTCAGTGCCGAAGAAGCAGAGGAATTCTTCTAAAAGATGAAAACTGCGGACTACAAGGTAATTGACCAACTTCGGAAGTCTCCCTCTTGTCTCTACTAATAAGATCGAATGAGCGTCAGAAAGTGTTGATAAAGACCCTAAACAAAGCATATGTTCAGATTGAAACCACTGTTGAACAACTGGAAATGATGGCGGAACGATTCTTTGAAGTCAACCAGATTTCATTTAGCAGAAATGACTTGCCCCCAGAAGGGGCTTCCCACAACAAAGCTCTTCATCTGATAGTTAAGTGTGAAGGTTACTATGTGAAATGAGTCATGGTGGATGGCGGATCTGGCATCGACATATGCCCTCTCTCAACTTTGCAAAGAATGGAAATTGGGACTGAGAGAATCAGGCCTAACAATGTTTGTGTACGTGCTTTCAATGGGATCAAGAGAGACACAATAGGGGAGATTGATTTGATCTTGACTATTGGTCCTGTGGATTTCGAAGTGACATTTCTGGTCTTGGACATGGATGCCTCCTATAATTTTCTCTTAGGAAGGCCTTGGATCCATGCTGCAGGGGCCGTACCTTCTACTCTCCACCAAATGGTAAAATTTGAACACGAAGATCAGGAAATCGTGGTCCATGGAGAGGACGAGCAATCAATTTACAGGGACCCTTCAGTCCCATGTCTCGAGGCTAGAGAAGGTAGAGAGCACATAGTCTATCAAGCTTTTGAGGTTGTGGTCGTAGATCAATGTGAGGAAAGGAGCCTGTGCCCTCAACCTTTTCTATTAAATGCATCAATCATGGTCGCTACTAAAATGATCAAGCACGTGTATAAGCCCGGGAAGGGGCTCGGGGTATCTTTGCAAGGTATCACAGAACCTATCACTTTGGCTGCTAGCGAGAAGTTCTTCGGTATGGGTTTTCATGCTACAGACGCTGATGTGACATGGGCAAATGAACGAAAGAGCAATGGTTGGGTGTTGCCTCAGCCTATCCTGCATCTCTCCAAAACATTCGTTAAGCCAAAGTACACAGAAGAAGAAGAAGATGAGGCCTTCACGGCCGAGAAAATTGAGGACATATGTGGAGCCATGAGGCAAATGTTATTCGAAGCTCATATGGTCCAGCCGGGTGAAGGCTCGAGCACTGTTGAGGTGCAATTTATGGGGCCCGATGCCAAGCTGCAAAATTGGAAGCTACTCAATTCCCAATCAGGAGGGAATCCCGGTAGTCGAGTCTTGCACCTTTTCTACATTCCGAGTTATTCCAGGGTGTAACTTGAATGTTTCATTTTAGTTTATTGTCTTTAAAATTCCAATGTAAACCCTTCTATCTTCAAATTCAATAAAATGAAATCAATATTTCATCGTCTATGAATCTCTTTCTTTATTCTTTCTAATTTTGTTATTTTTCTTATTTCTTCTTTTAGTTCTAATAATGTGGACTTAAATAACATGACATGCTTGCAGACTTCATGCCCAGATCATAGCACACTGTCTCATTTTGAAATAATGAATCAAGAACCAGAATATGATGAAGGTGAGTCTTTTAGGGAAATAAACCGAGAACTGGAACAATTAGAGAATAAACCTAAGCCAAACTTAAATGAAACCGAGCCAGTTAATTTGGGTAGTTCAGAAGAGATCCAAGAAACCATGATAAGCATTAACATGGAGGAAAGAACTAGGGATTCATTGATCCAACTTTTGTTCGAATTCAAAGATGTGTTTGTTTGGTCCTATGATGATATGCCAGGACGAAGTGTTGATTTAGTGGTGCACAAATTGCCAACTTACCTCGATCACCCCCCTGTCCAGCAAAAATAGAGGAAGTTCAAAACTGACATCAGTGACAAAATCAAAGAGGAGGTCACCAAACAGTTAAAGGCGTGGGTGATCCGATACACCACATGGTTGGCTAATGTGGTTCCAGTGCCAAAGAAAGATGGGAAAACTTGAGTGTGTGTTGACTATCGGGATCTGAACAAAGCAAGTCCCAAAGACAATTTCCCTTTGCCAAACATCCACATCATTGTTGACAACTGTGCCAAACATGAGATATAGTCTTTCATGGATTGTTATGCTGGATATCATCAGGTCTTTATGGATGAAGAAGACACGGAAAAGACAACCTTCACCACACCCTGGGGAACCTATTGTTATAGGGTCTTGCCTTTTGGTTTGAAAAACACCGGGACAACTTACATGAGAGCTATGACTTACATATTTCATGACATGATGAACCAAGAAATCGAGGTGTATGTGGACAAGGTTACCATTAAATCAAGAACGCACGATGACCATGTTCGGGATATGAGAAAGTTCTTTGAGCATCTGCGTAAATATGATTTGAAGTTAAATCCAACTAAATGTGCATTTGGAGTTCCGTCTAGGAAACTCTTGGGATTTATGGTCAGTCGGAGGGGCATTGAGCCAGATCCAAAAAAGATAAAGTCTATTCAGGATTTTCCTCCTCCGAGAACCAAGAAAGATGTTATTAGTCTGTTGGGAAGGTTGAATTACATCAGCCAGTTCATTGCTCAGTTGACTTCCACATGTGAGCCCATATTTAAGCTATTGAAGAAAGATGTAGCGATTAAATGGATAGAGGAGTGTCAAGAAGCCTTCGATAAAATCAAAGAATATCTGTCGAATCCGCCAGTCTTGGTCCCACCCGAACCTGGGAGGGCTTTGTTTTTGTATTTGACAGTATTGGAGAATTCCTTTGGGTGAGTTCTCGGGAAACATAATGTGACCAGGAAGAAAGATCAGACAATATACTATTTGAGCAAGAAGTCCACTAGTTACGAAGCCAAATACACTTTGTTGGAAAGGACTTGCTGTGCCCTAACTTGGATCGCTCAGAAGCTTAGGCATTACCTATTGGCCTACACCACCTATCTCATCACCAGGTTGGATCCTTTGAAGTACATATTCCAAAATCCGATGCCCATAGGGAGGTTAGCAAAATGGAAAATCCTGCTCATCGAGTTTGACAAAGTCTTTGTCACCCGCACGGCAATGAAAGCTCAAGCTTTAGCAGATCACTTAGTGGAAAATCTTGTTTATGATGAATATCAGCCTTTGAGTACTTACTTTCCGGACGAGGAAGTAAATTCAGCTGAGGTAATTTTAGAAGACACCAATGCTGGGAAAATGTTCTTCGATGGAGTTGTGAACGCAAAAGGTGTCGGGATTGGGGAAATCTTGATCTCACCCATTGGTCAGCACTATCCAACCATAGCCCGGCTTCCGTTTTTCTGCACCAACAACACTGCCGAGTATGAAGCCTGCATTATGGGTATGAACATGGCAATCGACAAATATGTGGAAGAATTGTTAATCATGGGAGATTCAGACTTGATTATCCGACAAGCTCAGGGTGAATGGGAAACTCGGGATGTCAAGCTTATTCCATATAGGCAACATGTGGAGGATCTTAGCAAGGGGTTCAAGTCAATCAAGTTTAGGTACATTCCTTGGTTTCACAATGAGTTAGCCGATGCACTCACTACTTTGGCCTCGATGTTGCCATATCCAGGAAATGTCCACATTGACCCGTTGGAAATCCAAATCCGAGAAAGGCATAGTTATTGCAATACGGTTGAGGTGGAACCAAATGTTCAGCCATGGTATCATGATATCAAGAGATTTTTGAAAACAAAATAATATCCCGAGCAAGCTAGTGGAGACTAAAAGAGAACCATTCGAAGGCTTGCCAGTGGTTTCTTCTTAAGTGGCGAGGTTTTGTACAAAAAGACTCCAGATCCGAACCTTTTAAGATATGTGGATGCCCAAGAGGCCGAAATAATCATGAATGAAGTGCACGCAGGAGTGCGTAGTCCCCATATGAATGGATACGTCCTCACAAAGAAAATCCTTCGAGCAGGCTATTACTGGATGACTATGGAAAAAGATTGCTTCAGTTTTGTCCGAAAGTGTCATCAGTGTTAGGTACACAGTGGGACCTGATTCATGCACCACCTTAAGAATTGCATCCTATGGCAGCACCGTGGCCGTTCGTTGCTTGGGGTATGGATGTCATTGGGCCAATCGAGCCAAAAGCTTCAAATGGACACAAATTCATATTGGTTGCCATTGATTACTTTACAAAATGGGTTGAAGCAGTCACTCTCAAAGCTGTCACTAAGAAAGTAGTGGTAGACTTCGTGCACGCCAACATCATCTGTCGTTTTGGTATTCTTAAAACTATCATTAAGGACAATGCTGCAAATTTGAATAGTCATTTGATGAGGGAGATATGTGAGCAATTTAAGATCACGCATCGAAATTCTACCCCTTGTCGGCCCAAAGCTAATGGCGCTATTGAAGCAGCAAACAAGAATATCAAGAAGATTCTTAGAAAAATGATTCAAAGTTCCAGACAATGGCATGAAAAGTTGCCGTTTGCATTGTTGGGATATCGTACAACTGTGCGCACATCAGTTGGAGCAACACCCTATCTATTGGTTTATGGCATTGATGCCGTAATACTCGCAAAAGTTGAAATTACTTCTGTCCGAATCATCATTGAAGCCGAGATTGAGGATAGTGAGTGGGTCAAGACCCGTCTAGAACAACTAACCCTGATTGATGAAAAGCGGATGGCCGCAGTTTACCACGGGCAGTTGTATCAACAAAGAATGGCCCATGCCTACAACAAGAATGTATGGCCTAGGAACTTTGAATGTGGCAACTCGTTTTGAG